TATTTATAGCCAAATGGATAGACCTTGAGACCATACTCCTAAGTGAAATAAATTAGATACACATGTGTAAATACTTGTCTTTCTGGTGTAAGAAACCAAAAGTGTAAATAAGAGCAAAAATGTATAATAGATATTGTGAAATAGGAAGAAATTTTTCAAAAGGAAAGGGGGGATACTAGGAGCAGGGAGGGGGAAAGGAAGGAAGGGAAAGGAAAAAAATGAGAAAAGAAGGATAAAATGGAAACAAAGCTTTGTAAATAAAGAGGGGAACAGCAGTTGAAAGGAGGGGAGGGGAATAGGAAAAAAGACAAATGAAGTTATATCATGTACAGGTACAAATCCCTTATGACGAATGTGATGATTATGTATATCTAAATAATACCAATAAACTTAATTAATTAATTAATTTATTTATTTTTTGGTTTTTTTTCTCTGGTACCGGGAACTGAACTCACGACCTTGCACATGCCAGGCAGGCCAATAAACTTAATTTAAAAAGTCCAAGGGAATGTTTTGGAGCTGAGGCACCAAAAACTCACACGGGCTTGGGCTGCTGTTTGGAAATACTTTCACAGGCCCCCTGGTGTGTTTTAGATTAAATTTCCAATTTTCTTTGCTTTTCTTAAACATTAATGATACTATTTAAAGATTTAAATTGATTTCTGGAACTTTCCTATTATTCTTTTTTAAAAAGTCAGCCATCTAAAGGAAAAAGTCACAATGCAGGAGATAAGGCCCTTAGACTTCCAAAAGAACTCGTTACCCTCTATGTAAGTATTAGAAAGTCAACTTGGTCAGTCCACGAGCCACTCTGTTTTGTAAAACAGCCTGCGAATACCACTGTCTTATTTATAACAGATGAAGCAGAACAACACCCACTAATCTGAGGCTTAGTAGTTGGGGTTGTATTGCTTTTGATGAGACACAAGAGAAGTTATCAGTGCCAGAAGTAAGTACCTTTTATTCATTAGAAATATATCCGACAAACAATGACTCTACAGCTAGGGAATTAATGTCAGGTGATATAAGAAAATGGCAAGCAGACTCCCTGGAGAATCCTGCATGCTAATTTTTGGGGGGTACTTTGCTCACTTTTTCAGGCTCAGTCAGCGTTATCCTCTCTGAATGGGAAGGTTTTGATCTCTCCCGTCTTAGCACTCAGGTCAAACCTGTGCATTCACTGTAGTGCCTGCTAAGTCTTGTGATTTCTAAGCTGTCCATCAAATTATTATTCTCTTAATCCCCACTCTGCCCACAAGCACTCCATTCCAGGGGAAGAAAAACATCAAGAGCAGAGTTTGGAGCTTTCATGGGAAGTTATTTTTTTTTGCAGACAGCTCCATAATTCACCTGGAACACTTTAACCACCCTGCTCTGAACCCAAACTTGCTCATCTGCCTTCTCAGCATGAAAGCTTCTCTTGTGTGCCCGCCGACTGATCAACTCTGGCTGGCTCTGTCTCAGGCCAGTGGACGCCTGGCCAGGAGGAGACTGTGTTTCCTCAATAGACCACGGGTCTTCCAAGTGCGGCTCAGGACGTCACAGGGTGGAGGTGTGGAGGACTGGCTCTCAGATGCCAGCTTTGCCATTCTGTACACTCCCTTTCACTGTCTCAGAAAGCCAGGATCCCACATAAACATTTGCATATTTTCAAGCTTCTTTCATTGCTCTTGTTCACACAGAGCTCATCCAGCAGCCCCTGACTATTGTTCAAGAATTAGCTCTCAGGGATTCGGATTGTCTTTGGTTTTTTTGAGGGGGGCGGGTGTTTCCGGTTCCAGGAATCGAACTCAGAGCTTGCCAGGCAGGTGCTGTGCCACTGAGCTAAATCCCCAGCCCTTTCTGATTGTCTTTGGAAGACGCAGGAAGACAAAGTGAGTTGCTAGGATTGCTGATTGAGTTTGTCCATTCAGAGTTAACATATGGCATACGAATACTGCTCTGTAAAATACCCATATGTTCCCCTCTTTGTTTCTAGCAATTTGTCTTGGGCAAGAGGGTCTCGGCTGACAACCATCCTCTGCTAGGGGTTCAGCAGCTGAAGGAATAGGCGTCTCCTCCAGAAGAGTGGTTTTAGGGTGGGATCCCAGCACCTACCACATGTATGTGTGAAGCTGGGTCCTGACATCTATGTGTTAGATTCATGCAGTTGGAGGATAAAGGATCTTTTTGTAAGGAGGAAGAACAAGATAGGTATTTTAAAAATGAGCAGAACGTTGTGGCTGTAGCAAAAGGGGCAGGTAGTCAAGAAGACGGGAGGTACAATAAAACATTTCTACAGAGAACATTCAAGGCTCTTAAAATCAGCTTCCTCGTAAGGCTCTCCCCACGTTTCCTGACCCTGTTCCACAGAGAGCTGGGTCTCATTCTTAAGGAAACATGGCGGTGGGCTCATTTATATGGGCTTCTAAATGAGTGACCACAGGACTTCTGGGAGGTGCTGTGTCAGGCTGGGATAAGAGACATTAATTTAGATGTAATTGCTAACAAGTGAAGGAACGTGTTAACTTCTTTACCATTTGGACACTTTGCTCTTTAGAATGAGAACACAAGGACAGGTATCTATGGAGTGGGAATATGAATGTATGAGTGGACAGAGCCAGGCCTGGTATCCTATGGATTAGATCCGCTTATTCTGTGCTGGATTCCTCCGTCTTATTTTAAGTCTTTCCATTTGTAGAACTGGGAGATTTACTTCTTTTTTAAACTGAGCTTTTTTTGAGGAGTATCACTTCAAGGACATTTTATGTAAAGGTGAAAAAAGAATATAAAATCAGATTCAGTATCTCGGTAACTCCAAATCAGACCACTGTTTTGCAAGGCATCACCTTACACCAAGTAATGTTTAGGGGTAGTTAATTAGCGGAAGACTCAGGGGAGTTTTCATACCTTGGAATTTCTAAGACTCTTTTGGGCCTGGGTACTGGGCTCTATTCCTGGGGCTTTCTATTTCAGAAAGTTCGGTAGGTCTCAGAAATATGCATTGCAGTACGTGTCTTGCCTCCATCTGAATCTGGTGATCTGTTGATCATGATTAGATCGACATGAAGTGTTTACCTGACCTGAGCTCTGCACAAGCCCCTGGGCTCCAGGCAGGAGTATAAAAGTCCATTAGGGCCTTACTCTGTAGACTGTGGCAAGCTGGAAAACGCACTTGAAGGGTCAACTGTATCTAATCTTAAATTCATTGTCTTGTGGTAATGGGGGCCCAGCATGGCCATTTTCAACAGACAGCAGGAAACTGGAATTCTGTGCAAGGTCTTCTACCATTGATGTGTTGGCATCTGGTTGAAAAATAAATTGAGTCACTGCATCTGGTAGATAAAGAGTATGTTGGATTCAGGCACTGAACAGCCAGTCGGATGCATCTGGGAGTGACATGAAACACAAGGCAGCAAAGGGAATCAAAGGACGGAAGGGGCTGGGGTCATGCGGGATGAGTTCAGGTGCTGTTAGGGCACAGCAGTCTTACGTAATTCTCTTCAGAGCAGTTGTATTTAAACTTCTTGTGCTATCAACCCCTGCAGGGGCAAAACACAGCCAAGCCATCCAACAGATTGATATTTGCAATGTAACAAATAGAATATTGTCACCGAACATGGGGGAAAAGATCTGTCTACAACAGCCTGAAAAACCAAATAGGGAAATTAGAAAAGATCAGTTAAATATATCTTGAGCGATTAGAGTTCTCACCCAAAATGTCATTAATTGCTTCTCTGTATACAATATTTCAATATATTTTCCAACCCTTCAACCCTTATGTGTTACACTGCCCAAAGGACCTGCACAGCGGAAAGGTGAGCCCAGCTGAAGTCCCCTTCTCTGAGGCTGGGACTTAGGAATAGCTGCCGATGCTGCATATAGAATAGTCTCCAGCGTACCTCCTACATCTAGAGGCAGGTCCGGTCAGTTCCTCTGCAGCTGATGTTGCCTGGGGAGGGAGGTAGCCAGAGGGTGAGCTGTGACAGTTTTTGCAAACTTGGATGAACACCAGTCCCAGCTTTGGCAAAGTACAGATCAGTCGGGAAAGCCAATAATACTGTAGTAATAAGCAGTCCTGGATCTTGGGGTCCTTGACACAATGACATAGCATCTGTCAGTCAGACTGCATGACCCGCAGAGTTATCAGGAAGTAGGGGATGTGTGCGTCTTGCTCACTGTGACCACTTCTCCGGGCAGGTGTAGGCTCCATCTCCATGTGTTTTGGAGATAACGGCCACGGAGGGGGCACTGGGCAGAACCACTTCAAAGTGGCCTTCAAAGCCTCTCCCTGAGAGGGATACACTGACACTATGCCTGTCACTGGCTTCCAGTTTGCATTTTAACGGCTAAAGCAAATCACATGTCCCTGCTAACTTCAAAAGAGGAAGGACAGTCTGTGGAGTACAGAAACGAAAGTTTTGTGAATAGTCCTAATAATCACATGACTGTCAGTCCTGATACATCAACTTCATCAGCTTGAAGAAAGTCTGGCAGATCAGTGAAGCATGCTCCTGGATGTGAGCGTGTGGGTCTCGGAAGCATGACCTTGGGTAGTATATATGGTTCCTTGCTCTGGTATTGTTCCCCATCTCTGCTGCACCTCCAGAGAAATTTCTGCCTTGGAGCCTGCCTGAAACCATGAAACCTTTTCTCCTGTACACTGTGGGTGTTGGGTATTGTGTCTTAACAATAGGAAAGCCGGCTGATATACACTACAACCCGCAAGATTCCCCAAATCATTTTAATATTTCCTTAGGCTTTGAGACCCCAACCTGTTTAGTTCATCTGTGGAGAACCTCCCAGTTGAGGTGTAAGTCTTCCACTTAGAAGAGCATCCTACGTACTGAGAATAGCGCTGTATCCAGTAGACTTTTTTTTTTTTCCCAGACTGGGAATCGAACTCACGACCTCGCGCTTGCCAGGCAGGCGCTGTGCCGCTGAACTAAATCCCCAGCCCCTCCAGTAGACTTCTAATAAACTTTTACAGTTACTCACTTACCCATTGAGAGAAAACTAAATGCAAAGTGACTGTATTTTATTTCTATTAACAACAAAATACTTCTATAATTTCACATCCCATTGCCTTTAAGAACACATATATTACAAATAAAGAAACTCCACAAATTTTAAAGATTAGTATTTATCAACACTTTTTTACACATACAGAAATATTTTAATATAACGGTATCTGAAATGTTATTCATATAATTTTAGTACTGTCATAAGTAATAACTAAAAACGTTCTTTTAAATTTGGTAAAAACCATATATTTTACAATCTTCTATTTACATCTGAAATACGCTTAAATGTTACAAAAACATTCGCTTTGACCTTTAAAATATGTGTGCTAGGGCTGGGTATTGAACGTATTATCACTGACAGCAAACCAAGAGTTTGCTTTTGAGCTACACATTCATTGAGATTTCATGGCAAATATTCAGGTTGGCTTGATCAATACCGCTCAAAGAAAGACAAAAAAAAAATCGTAGGAAATGTGCAAATTCAGAGGCTGGCAAAATTCTCAAGCTGGCGAGGTAAACAAAAATATTAACACCATACAAACTTGAAATAAATTAAATCTATCTTTCTCTTCCCCGAGATTAGCTGCAAATTCAGAGAGTTCTCTGAGAGGTTCTAGGAGGCGTCCGAGCTTCTCTCAAACTTCCGCGCTGGATGAAATAGACACGGTGGGCGGAGCCGTAGCCGCCTTGTTAATTACACGAGTGCAGGTTCGCTCCACTGCGGGCCTTGCTGGGTCGTCCCTGCCCGTAATCTTAAAACAGGACAAAACAGCACAACAAAAAGATCACACAGAGGCTAACATTTATCTTCCCAAACACAAAGTTAAAACCCAGGACAGGGATTTTTATTCCCAGGGGATATTTGTACATTTTGAAAATACACTAGTTTAGTTCGCTACCATCAGTCTCCCAAGCCCACCTGCTAATCACTCTGCCAATATTTAAAGTAGCTTCACTAGTTCCCTTGATCATCAGATATAAATTTATAACTGTTTCAACTAAACTTACAAATACATCTGAGTAATGGGGTTTTATTTTGTTCTAAAAGTTTATAGTTTATATTGCCAAAAATCTATCCGAAAAATGAAGCATTGTACACTTCACTTAAGTACTTGCATGAATGGAAATATAAAAAAAAAAAATCTTGACCTGATTTTACCTGAAAATAGTGTTACTAGACCTTCATGATACTTTCCTATCAGATGTATTCAAAGAATAATATGTAAACATGGTAACAACAGCTCTCACACAAAGCTCAGGCACCTCTGAAGTGTATCTGTACACAAGAGACTCACTATTTTAAACTTGCAGGTAGGAAGATTTCCTCACTAACTGCACACATTACCATGCCGTGCCATGACTGTTAGCTTTCTTACTCTTCTGAGAGAGAATTGCTACTTCTGTCTCCACAGAGCACTGGGGAGCTAAGCCTTTTACCCTACCGCGAGGTCTGTTTGTGGTCAGTGTTCCCGGTTTGGCATGAAGAATTTGGCTGACAATGTGTTCATCAAACAAGCTAGTAGCAATATGCCTTCGCGTCTTCATCCTTGCCACTCTGGCAGGGTGGGACTGCTGTGTGTTTCGTGTTTGATGCTCACTACCTCAGCTGGAGTCACTGTGCTCTCATTCTCCTTGAATTTTGAAATAGACACCAAACGAGGATCTTATATTTGTTTCACCTGCATCCTTATATCCATTACTTTGGATTCAGCCGAAGGAAACTTTTCATGGTTTTGCTATTTATAAATCAGTGTGAGATGCTGGCTGCTTGTAAAGTAATTACTGCTTGTAACTCAACGTCTTCAGATTTTAATGCACTTTATCCTGTTGCATTTTTATTTTTTAGAGTAAGAAAGGTTTACTGGGGAATAGGAAGAGCTCTCCAGAGATAGGAAAGGTCCCAGGTGGGGTTGCCACCAAGGTCCTTGGTCAGGAGTAATTTATACAGCAAAGTCACAATGTAGGGACAACGTGGTCAAACTAAAATCAACCAATAGAACTACAAGTATAGCTGCCTAAGTAGTATTGGTCCCACAGGGAATGGGTCTTTTTTTCATATATTGAAGGTTCTTTTGTTAACTACATGGTTTCACAGAACTCTTCTATTTAAGATTTTTCTGGTACTTTTGGAATGAACTGCATGGTTAAATCTAATTTTCCGTTTCCCATTTTTATTTTATTTTTGTCTGCTGATAGATCCTAATTGTGTCTAACTGTCAAAGTTCCATGGTAGAATTTGCCCTTGCATTGAGTGTATAGGTACCTGTTTCCAGAACGTGTGCCTCAGTATATAGACACGTGAAGCCATTATACAATGTCCCCTGTGGGAAATCCCCATGGGAGTGCTGGATCAGGAAGAAAGTTTATCTTTTCTGTCCACAGATTCATTTCTTTTACTGAATAGCCATGCAATCCATCAGGTTCTTTCCTTTGTGTCACTTTCCAGGAAGCACAGAATTAAATTTGCTGCTTCTACAAAAGTTTTCCTAGAAATTATTTTTCTGTCCTTTTAATCACCTGTTTTGTTTTGTTGTAGCACTCTGGGTATAGTGTGTCTTTGTTTTGGAAACAAGCAAGCTCAAGTATGTCAAATGCATCTTGGAAGTTGATAGAGTGTGTATTTTTCTTTCATGAATTAAATTGTGAACTGTAGCTCTTATCACCAGCCCCTAGCCTGCCACTGACCTATCTTGAAATGGAAGTGGAGCTGTAATGAAATCAAAGCTTACACAACACCAGTGACTAGGAAGTGACCAGGGAAAACGATCATCTAGGTAGAGATGGGGGACTGGGAGGCCACAAAGGACAGAGTGACAGAAGGAAAGAGAAACATACCACTCTTGCTTATGGTACTGAGGGAAATACTAGACACAGAAGAACAGAAGCTGTACAAACACGGACCTCGGCAGAGCTGCCAGGAGAAAAGAGAAAAGCATTTTTTTTTGGCCACAAATTTCAAGGTCAGACATGACTTACAGCTGGAGACAAGCCTTCCTTCCCCATTGCTTCTATCCGGTGTTTTCTTTTTGTTTCACTCCTATTTATGATTTCTTCTCATGCTTTCAAGGCATTGCCAAGAGTATTGAATTCTCACCCCTCGCAAAGCCCAAACCAACATTATCTCCATTAGGAATCCTAGCGAGGGAGATTGATTTTTCTCTGACCTAAGTCAACCAACCATTTCTTTCTCTGGCTACTATGGAGAGTGGATGGGAGGAATTGTAAAAGAAGAAAAATATTGCACGCACGGGGCATGCGATTTGGACAAAATTTTTCATGTTTTGAGAATCGTGTTAATGGTAGATCATTTAAGGAAAGGAGGGTAGCCAATATTAAATGAGTGACTACTATGTAGAAGGCACTACTAGGACACTCATTCACATTGTGCCTCTTCGTTATTCCATAAGGAACACATTAATTACTGCAGGGGACTATGGGTATGAGATGTCAGAGTGTGAGGGGTGATGGATGCTGGGGTGTAGGCGAAGAAAACCGCACTTGGCTTTGAACCATTTGATTTTTAACACCCACGTAATGCCCCAAACACTGTGACTACTAACTGGCCGCATTTTGTGCACAGCTCACAGAACACGCTGAATACACGCTGGCTATCATGGATGAGCTGCCTGTGGTGGTGGTGGGGCCGTTTTACTCCACGTGCTCCCATCTGCGGAAAGGTCAGCCTCTGAGGAGAACAGGTCTTGGAGATTAAAGGCCTTGAGCAATCCAGAGGCTCTTCCCGAGCGCAGTGCAGCGATCCCTAGTGGCCGATGTGTGGAACTGCACAGCACATCCCCCTGGCCATCCCAGAGGGGCAGCAAGCCTTAACGGGAGTCCCATTCAGGGCTCCCCAGTGTCTGACCAGACCCACCTATTCTAGAAAATGAGCCGTTCATACACCTTGGAGAAACATCTTGAAAACGTGCAGAAAGTCTTTGGGTTCTCTTTTTTCTTTTCTTTTCTTTTTTTTGGTACGGAAATTGAACCCAGGACCTTTGCAATGAGCTACATCCTCAGCAGTTTTTATTTTCAGGTAGGGTCTCACTGAATACTAAATTTCCCAGGCTGAGCTTGAACTTGTTCTCCCAGGGCGCTGCGATTACAGGCGAAGCGCCACCTCGCCTCACTTCATATTCTTTTCTTCCTGATCTTACCTCAGCCAATCTCTGCTGTGAGAGAAGGGCTGCTGCACACGGGGAAGAGAACAACCTAGCAACACAGGGCTGGTGTCGACAAGGATTTTAGCAGCAAGAAAAGGGAGTCTCGAGTCTCCGTCCTGACGGGCACTTTCTACGCGCGGACAGCAGCGGGAGTCACCAGGGAAACCTCACCTGCTCATTCATGACCGCGGAGAGTTCACCGAGCATGTCCTTGTAGTGGGACCGCAGCTCTTCTTGGTATTCCAGCTGGTCCTCCTTGATGAGGCGCTCGTTCACGTCCAGGGCCTGCCCACAGGCGTCGGCAAATTGCCTTGAGCAACAGCATGCAGCAAATTAAACACCAGCCATACCACGGGGCCTCGCTGGGTTCACTGGCTGCTAATACTCTGCCACGTCTGGAGGGCTACTTGGACAGCTCCTCGGGAAACTCACACCCCCCTGGCTGAAGGAGGAAGCGGGGGGTTAACAAAGAGAACCTTACCTGAAGATTTCCTTCAGAAGCTTTACTTGGTTGTCTGGGTATTTCTTTGCATTTGTTTCTTCCAGAAAAGCTCGTGCGTAGGCCATGGGGCCGGCATTGACCTATGGGGCAGAAGAGAATTGGCTAGGACCGCTCGACTGCTCTCGTCCTACACGGAGCTGCCTCCACAGCAGAAGGAGGGCGGCTGGGTGTGGCACCCCAGTCTCCCACACTGCCTTGTGGTCTTGTGGGCCGTCCTCTGCCGCGTCACTAAACCAAAGGGAGCACCGAGCTCCGCCCTTCTCTACGACCTTCTCAAAGAGGTCACCGCCAACCTGCTCCCCATCTCTGGATCCACGCCCTGCTTGAGCTGCTCATCTCTTAACAGCTTCGAAAACTAGACCTGCATCTGCTAAGTATGCTCGCTGTATTTAAATGTCATTTTTTTCCCCCACCAAATATTTGTTGTCCGCAGTAGGACAGCCACTTCTTTATCCGCTGGCTCTTCTTCTCCTCGGGCCAGCCAGGAGGAGGGGGCCAGGACAGTGGAATCAAGAGCAGATTCAGCATCTGTGATTTTTCCTTTGCTTCAGGCTCTAACATAGCCTCTGAGGGCAAGGCCTTGAAATCTTTACTTGAAATCTTAATACTTTTTCACTGTGTAGTTTTAGCATTCATTTTGATTTTTAAAAAGATGGTGTTGATATATCATTTTAACACGGTTGCTGACTACATTTTGCGCCCTAGTGAGTGCCTGGTCAGACCAGGCCAGGTTAGGGACAGAGCCTCTGGCTCCTCCCTAAGCTTCTAACCAGGCTGCCTTTCCGCGGGGTCTCCCGCAGCTCCCTGCTCTGCTTCTACTAATTTTCCTCTCCCGCCGACTTCAGCCCTGGCTGCTGTCTGCAGTGCTGTTCGCACTTTTGCAAATAGCTTATTTATTCTATCTCTGACACCTGCTGGGAGGACAGCATCTGCTTTCTGTCAGCCCCGGCAGGCAGGTAAACACGAACGCACCCTTTATCAACTAGTAAACATTCTTTCCTGGATTTGTTTTGGAACACTGTTATAAAATGCTTCCTGACAGCCACGTGCAGGAATGCTGTGCTCATTCATTAGTGAATTCACTCATCAGGATGCAGAGATAGACCATGCTTTCTCCAGAGAAGACGGCATGGGGAAGACACCATTTTATTGCAGCTACACTTAAAGACATATCTACAGGCACCAAATACACACAATGAGATAGAATTTCAAAAGACTCAGGTAAAGGTATTAGATAGTATTCACATATGGCAAAAACATTTCTTAGATCTTTCGTTAAAAAAAAAAAAAATTCTAGGGCCTCATACCAGGTTTCCCTGGTCCCTGGCATCTGCCTGGGCTCTGGGCTGTGCGTACTAACCTTCACACTGACACTCCCCTGGAGCTTGAGCTGCAGTCGAATCATGTCCACCTCGTCCATTGTGCAGAGCTGGTTGAGCTCGGAGACCTTCTTGGACATCTCATCGATGGCCACTTCAATAGGGTTCAGCTCTGTGCTTGACTGGCTTATGACCTGGATCCTCTTCTTCACATAGGGGAACAGGTGACTTGCTGCACAAAAAACACACAGACAGATGTCAAGGGTCAGTGAAGAGGTAAGGCTTCCCCCCGAAGGTCAGTAGGATCATGTATTGCTTTACAGCACATGAGCTATTCTGTCTGCATGGGGTGTGTGTGTGTGTGTGTGTGTGTGTGTGTGTGTGTGTGTGTGTGTGTGTTTTCCTCCTAGGTACTATCTTCCTTCATATCTCTTAGTTTTTGCCACAGTACCTTCACCTGGTAAACTGCCCTTCACTAGCTAACAGGAATTCATTCTCAGGGATAGATCAACACCTTGAGATAGCCAGACACTGAGAAGATGAGAGATTTCACAACTTATAATTCAAATGAAACTGACCCACTCATGCATGATCAACTCTATACTCAATAGGCTGTAACAACTTTGTTCTAGATTGTTTTTATTACAGGTGTTCTGGGTCAGTTTCCAGGAGGCAAATGCATCTCCTGGCTTGGATGTCAATTTGATTCATCTGTGCATTGTACAATCCAGGGCTGCCTGCCTCCCCCAAGAGAGCTTGGCTGTCTTTTCCTCCAGGGTGACCCTGGCTCCACACTGCTCTGGGCTTCTGGAGTCTCTGCTGTGTTCCCATTCATCTCCCATGCTGTGCTCACCTAGATTTCTTGTTTTACCTGGCTCATTCTCCTACCAGACGTGAGCACCTTGTGGGCGAGAATCATGCTTTATTAATTTGAATCAGTGGGACTGGACCAGGGCTGGCCCTGAGCCAGAACCCATCCAGTGTCTGTTGAATGAAGGGAAACATGCCTAGCGTACAGGATAGATCTGGGTAGTACTGGTAGGGTGCAGAGATCAGGGTCTGCACTCGTTTGAGAGAGAAAGAAGCTGACTCCTAGCATGGCTGGAATCTTATCCCCAAACCACAGTGATGAGAGCGGCTGAGAGCAGATTCAGGGAAGAGACAAGGGAAGAGAGCTCAGTGCCTGTGCCTTCCCAAGCCAGGGACACCACACCCTTGTGCCTGCCCAGCCTCAAGGGAAGGGGTACAAAGCAACTTTCAAGACACCTTTCCTCTGGGTGCTTCTCAAGGGCCTTGTTCTTGGCAGAGGATGAATCTGTTCGTCCTGGCCGGCACTTTGGGAACTTATCGGCAGGATGGAAATAGCTCCCGATTTCCACCCCTGGAGCTAAGGAGGGGCCCTGCACCTACTTGTCAGGACCGTCCTCCGCTTGCACTGCTCCGCCACCCCGCCATGCTTCTTGCCCGACAGCGTGAAGGGCGTCTCGAAGACAAAGCGGTTGATGTTGTGGTGCATTTCAAAATCTGTCTTCCGGTCCTCTATTTCCTTTTCCTCAAAGAACGGTGTGACATAGGTCACCTGGATGTAGGCGTATTTGGGGTCCAAATCCTTGGGGTTGACCTGTGTTAACACATTACAGGCAAAGAAAGGGTGGTGAGCCATTGGTCCTTCTGCATGTGGCTCTTACACATGCTAGGCACATGCTTACCACTAAGCTGCATTCCTTGATCTTCACATTTTAAAAAATTTATTGTTGTGACACAGGGTCTCATTAAGCTGTTTGGGCTGGCAGGCAGCAAACTTGTGATCTTCCTGCTTCAACCTGGGATTACCTGGGATTATGAGGCGGGGTGGGTATCGGGTACCACTATGCCAGCTGCACGATACTTTTGGAAAAAAACATGGGAAGCTTTGTTTTCCCTGGGCAAGGAGCAGGAGGAGGCTGCTCCTCTCCCCTGAGAGGACGGTGGGCAGTTACAGCATTTCAGAGCTGGGTGGGGCCACAGAAAGAGTCAAGGGCTGACAGTGGCAGCCTGGCTATGGTGGCGGTTGGATTGGAGCCCGCCTGGCATGTCCTGAAGCTCTTTGCAACATAAATGCCTGGCTGATTCATATTAGTTTTCAAAACTGTCTATTCTGTAATGCATGCCCAATTTCCTTGGTGTGGTGTGCGTGTCTTCTGACAGTGGAAACATGTCTTTGTCCCTCTGTGATTTAGCCTCGTACCCGACTGGGGCCACTGGCCTTTGCCTTGTGATGTGGAGGGAGGATCCTTGTCCATTTAGCAGACTAGATGCTTAGCTGACTACACGATGACAACTTTTTGTATTTTCGGTTTCAGATTTCTTCTCTTATACACAACAAACCATTCTAACTTCGCTGTGATGCATATACGTAGCAAAGAAGGCAGGCTGAAGGATCCCAAATCTCCAGGGAAATTGTATTTGCTCTCCCTTGAGGGTAGAAGAGATGATTTTCAGCCGCTCTTTTAAGGACATCTTGAAAACTTTTTTTTTGGCCTTTTTGAGATGGGGTTTCACTATGCAGTTCAGGCTGGCCTTGAACTCACAGTGATCTTCCAGCCTCAGCCTCTTGAGTGCTGGGAATACCGGTGTGTGCCACTATGCCTGGCTTCTTGGAGACTTTTAGAACTTCTTCCAATTTTCTCCATCTTTCCACCTATCCACACCCTCACCAACTCCAGAGATTTGAGAAAGCTCATAAAGCTAATCATAATTATGCTATAGTATTGGTACAATTATAGCCATGTTAGGGATTAAAAACCAGAGGTTAAGAGGGGTCAGCTAATTTCTCCGAGATCACCAGCTGACATGCGGTGGTGTGTTGAACTCCCAGCGCACTCCACTTCCTTGTCCCACCAAGAATTCTGAGTATGCTTTCCACACAGGAGCAGCACTACTACCACAGCTCTGTCTGTCTGTACAGGGAGGTGACTGCATCTTTCAAGTTAAGGAGAATGAGAAACCTATCTGCCACAGCTTCTGCCAGTGATCTTGTCCCTAGAGCCCTCCAAATAGCAGCTTTGTAAAAGAAGACAAGAAAATATGGCCTTTTTTGGGGTCCAGTGGAACTGTACACCACTGGGCACAAACCAGCGTTTCCAGCTTCACCTTCTGCCAAACTTCTCCATCCAAGCTGCCTGTCAAAGATCTGCCATGCTTTAAACCCACATCTCCCTCTCCTTCCTTCCCTCCTGTCACTGTGTGTGCTCAGCTTCTCAGAATGCTCCGGGCTTCCTGTGAACGCCTCGCACCCTACGATTCACGCTCAGAGATACTTGCCCTGGGTAGCATGCCCAAGGAAACATGAGGCCCTGCTAGGAGCTTTCCTTGTATGGGTGGCCCGCGTCTCTTTGATAGCCCTTTGCTGTGTTCTATCAACTGTTCCCACAAGTTCTTCTCCTCTTAGTCACATGGGAACTGGGAGATCTGAAGGGAAGAGGCTCTGAGCCTCAGCTTTGAGTTCTGCGCCTGGCACCCAGTAGGTGCACACGAAATGAATGAGAGTCCATGAGGCTCTGAGCCACCTGATGACAGCTTAGGCTTTGCTTTGTGAGGACAGCAGGCGGTCACTTGCATCCTCTCAGCTTAGTGCAGGGCACCACAAGTCTTGTACTATCATGCAGAGCAGCTCTCAAAACTGCTCTGGCCCAGGAAGACCTCCTGGACTGAATGAGGTATTTTCAACTCGCAATTTCCTTCCGAGTTCCACCTTGGGGCCCAATCACTATTAAAATGCAAATAACCAAAAAAAAAATGCAAATAACCTATAAAAGAAGTAGAGGATTTAGTAAGCTATTTCTAAGATTACTTACAAGTTACTCAGACAAAGATTTATGTTTTGACCAAAAAAAAAAAAAAAAAAGAAAGGAAAAAGAATCTCTAGCCAATCAATGTGCAAAACATGCAGAATAATTTGGGTAATTTATTCTGCACAATCAGGCAGCGAATTAAAACAGCAAGTATAATTAAAAAATAAAATAACAAGTCAAGTCTTAGCACTGGAGTGACTACTGATTTTTGTGTACCTTGTTGGAATCCTGGATTATCTTCACATTGTCCACTCCGAACTTATCTGCATAGAGTTTGAGTAGCCTTTGAGAAATCTCAGAGAGACCTGTCAACTTAGGCTCTTTATAAATGTACTCTTTGCCTTCTTCCTCTTCAAAGAAACCCTATGGAAGACACATAAAGAACCACTGGTTTTATTAGAGAGCTCCAGGTACAAATCACGAGCAAAAGAAAAAAGGTATTTACTTAAAAAATATATCCAGTCTTTGGGTTGTCATCCAAGCCATTGATCAGCACTCTATAAAATTCAAAATTAAAAAAAGATCATGTGAAGAAATAAAAAAATCCTATAAACAGACACTAATGTAAATATTCCCTAGCTATGTCAAAGAACTTCACTGAATATCTTACATATATTTTCCTTTTTGTAGAAATCAATGAATCTGTTTGCATCTATTTTGGGGGAAGAGTGCCCTCTTGTGGCAGTCTGGGGTAGACCACAAAGTGGAGCATGTTTGGCAGGTTTCAATCATTATCATTTTTAATATTTTCTACAAGACTTTGAAACTAGTACAGATAGCATAATGTGGGATGTAAGGAATCTAAGTGGGCTGATATGCACCACATATCATCTTAGCTGAAAAGCCATACACTTTTTATTGTCATCCTAACACAAATGACATATTGTACCCTCCCAATTTGTACTGCTTCAAATAACATTACATCCGCACTACATCAGTGTACCCAATCCGACTTAACTGTATGTAACATAATTACTAAACTTGCTTCACTAATAGTTCTTTTATGCTCTTGGAAAGCTAGGCTTTATAGGATTAAAAACAGCAACTATGCCATCATTTTTATTCCATAGGAGAAAGTAGGATTTAGCCTTTATTCATTTGTCTGGTTAGAAGCTGGGAGAGGGGAAGATTTTTTTATCTGAAGATAATTAAGTGAGAAAATCTTTATAATTCCTTCTCTTTGAAGAGACAGAAGTATTTTTCCTGTGGAGTATATGTGGCCTCAGAATACTAGGTGAATTTGAGAGTGAAGAATTCATGTTATCTCCCCTTTTTCTGCAGCATTTACCTGCAAAGAAATGACTTTTGAGAGTGGACAAAGATATTGGGGTTCAAACAAGGCTTAGCTATATTAATAATCCTTTTTGACTGAAATTATTCATTATATGTAAAATAACACGGACAAAATGTTCTAATGCTGCCTTTATTTTTTTGAGGCGGGTGAGGCAGACTAATTACGGAATCGGAGTATTACACTCATGTCTGTGTTATGCAGAGCACTTCCACCCATGAGCATGTGAGCATCATTCAGAGGAGACTGTAGCATAAGGACTGTAGCTGTCATGAGCAGAGGCCAGGGGAGACGTCCCTTTCCCAGCATGGTTACTGTCACGCTGGTAACTGCCTGTGCCGTTTCTGCCTTCTTCATCGACTTTGGGCATGTAGGAAATGTGTCCTCATTGACAGCATACACTCAGGGTTTACTACAGTGCCTGGCCTCCGGGAGGTTATTTCAACATGTTTGTATTTGTTCACTTTTCAACTAGTCCTATTTGTTGAAAAAATGCACAGATGAAAGAAATTAAAGGACCTACACTTCAAAAAGGTATATTTGCTCCACATATAACTAGAGAAGAACCCACTGCTTTCAACAGACATGTTTTATTGAATAATTTCTTGGAGAAATACTCAGGACTCCAGGAGTCGCCAGGTCCTATGCTGCTAGGTGACACAGGATGTGGAAGCATGAAAAACAGCTCCCGGCCTTTCATCCGGACCTTGCTGGGTGGCGAGGGCTGACTCCCCTCTCCTGTGACTTCCTGCCTGCTGTGGGTTTTCTGTTCCCTCCTTTGTGGAGTTTTGTCTGACTCAAGGTCAGAAGTTAGTGGCTGTAATTGACAGACTGGCACATCAGAGAAATAAGACTTCTGAGGCCATCAGCCAGCATCTCCCCAGGGTCATGGCCAAAGCGATGTTTACAACTTCAGTTTCAATGAGAAAAAAAATGCTGCCAGCTTTCAGGAAAAGATTTCTACTTTTTTTTTTTTTTAGCCACGCAATGGAACATGAGTATGAAGAGCTATTTTCCCTGCGATGTTTCCCCTGAGAAATTTCTGAATCTGTAGAAAAGAAGTGGTAGGAAGCAGGTGTCTGTTGTCATGATGAGCTCTGTGGCCTTCGTCCTGACCTGTGACTCTCGTTCATCCTGATTCCTTGGTCTGCAGGGTGGAGAAAGCAGACACAGAAACCCGGGGGGACGCCGCTGGGACCATGCCTGGCGCACAGCCGGCCTTGGTGAATGTTAGCTGCGCCGATGATGATGAAGACAGTCATGAAGACGCAAATCTCATTTCCATAAAGCAACCTGAGTGCTGACTCACGTGCAGAGAAAATAGCTTAGCGTGGCTCTGAGGCCTTGAAAATACATGCCTTCAACTGCTCCTCCAGCAGAACTACAAGTTTCTTTATTACAACAAGTCTACTGACTCTCCATATTTTGGCAAGTGATGGGTCAGAAAGAGAGATTAGAGCATTTTTTTTTTAAGAGTGTGGGGATTATAATGGACTGAGACTGTTTTATAAAACAACTAAGGAGGAGCAGGAATAGAAGAATTAAGCATTGAACCCAGGTCTGCCAGGGTTTGTATAAAGCTGTTTTGAAGCCATACAAGTGGCCGCGGTGGAAACGTTTGGAGTACACTCTTACCTTTCACCCATGGAGCCCCCTGCATTACAGAGCACTATCTTAGGAGGGCCGCAGCTTCTGCTCTCTATGGAACTCAAGATTTATGATCCGAATGCAGGTGATGGGAACCCGGCAGCAGTTTCCCACTTGCTTTGGCCCCAACGTTATAAACTGACCACATTTCAAGGCAACTGGAAGAATGGCCTTTGTATTTCCACTGCTAGTTTAATTTTTTAAAGCGTTATTGTGCAGTGCAGCAAATGCCTTAATCTCTTATGTTAGGAAACAGCACATTTTTTAAGCGAGGACTTTGAGTCGGTAGTGTTAACATACACAGATTATGAAACTTTCAGGCAATAAAGCAGGATGAGCTGACACCTAAAGATCCCTGGTTCCTTCTTAGGAGGGCTCCTCCTTTTGCAGTCACTTCACAGTCTTGCTGTGCCCGCTTTATCCCTGGGGTGTCAACTACAAGTGCCCTGTGATTAGAGTCAATTGATCCAGAGTTCTTAAACAAAAGAATGTAAGCCAAGAGGAATCTAGTGCAGGAAAGATAGGCCATGATAGGCTAAATGTTTGGAGAAGAGATGCTACAAGAATGCAGAGAAGCAGTTCCATGCATATATGAACTCAATTATCATGTTTGGCTGTGAATATATCGTATCAGTCAGTGACTTTCATATATGAGAGGAGATGGAAAAGAATATCACATCCCAAAGAGGAGATGGTGGGTTTTCAAACTACACATGTACCTTTCCCCTCCTCCTGGGTTCTTTAGGAAGATTCTGAGATGTACTCAAGCTGGTATGATTAAGAATCATGAATCTAACTCCTCCGGTGCATAGAATAAAATTCCTTCAGCTTTGCCAGCTAATGAATTCCAGAGGCATCTGATGCCTAAGTTCTGCAGTAGGAATTCATTTGCTTTCCTGAGAAATACCAGAGCCCAAGAATTTTACTGATTACAGGCAATGTTTGATCACTATCGTTGTGTCTCTACTCTCAACATGAATTATTTCAGGGAATTTGGTGGAATGCTTTAAACGAGCTGCTATGTGTAAAAATCCCCATGGGCAGTGATGCCAGGTGCTGAGTTAGAAATTGCTATGCAAAACTTGTTTTTTAAAATCCCTGCAGTGGAACAATAATTTTCAACTTGTTTTCTAGCATCTGGCTCAGTGCAGACAGAATTAATATTAAACACCATGGCCAATATGATAAAGGGAAAGCACTAGGCTACGTGAGATGCTAAAATATGGGCTCACAGGCACTTTGTGGAGGGGAAGACCCTGCTGTGTTTTCTGTAACCGAATTCTTTTTAACATGATTGCCAGACACACCAATGTGGATGCTAAAAAGTGACTTTTATAGAGATACTGATCATCATCATGGATAAGAATTCATTTCTGGTTATGGAGATTATGCTAATCAGGTAGCCAAGCCTTCATCTTAATTTGCTGGAACTGTCATTCTGCACACATTTGGGGGTACGTTCAAACCTATTTTGTGTTTTTTTTTTTTATTATGAAGTGTCTGCTTCTGTTGAATACCATTGTTCACATTTGCCATGTGGTGTCTTGGGGCAGGCCCTGTATCATTTGCACAAGGATGACTGAAGTTCTAATTTGCTGGCTATCAGGTTAACCTTCATGTGCTCTTGTTCAAACTGTTCAAAGGTGGCTGGGGTTTGAGCTGGTAGAGGGCCATCTCAAGGTATGTTCTTGGATCTGTGCATATAACAAAACACTTTGCCTTTTGGGTCTGATTGAATTTTCTTAGTGTGTGTAAAAGACATTTGAGAGTGCTGGAAGTATTAAAAAATATCACATTCATAGTCAACATGCTTTACTAAAGAGTCTCAAGAAGTAACAGTTAGGTCATTTGAGTTAGGTCTCCTCAATCTTTCTCCATGATCCTTTCAGTCCATTTAGTACAAGGGTTTTCAAGAATTCTTTTAGTAGGTGAGTTAAGGAGTCATGAGCCAAAATTTAGAAATGAAAGTAGAAAATACTCATATGGCATGGAGGTAGGAATGAATTCATAGAATTACAAAAAAGTATATATGTGTCAGGCAAGTTGACCTGAATGGAAACTGATAATGTGTGGATATTGAAAGAATATTTCTTTCTAGCTTAATCTGCAATAATTATGTTAAACCACTTGAAGTTGCCATTTTTACAGATAAAGGAAATGGTAAAGATAAATAATTTAATGTGGCTTAACATAATATAAAGAAAGCTCTTCGTCTGGGTACTGGAAGATTATTTCTGCCTTGGTTTCCATTCCAGGTTTCTTACTCCATTTCTTACTGCATCTTTTGAGGCTTTACTTGTTGGGTAAAGATTCACTTCCCTGCTCACCTTTTGTGTTGGGAAATGGTGCTAATCCAACTCCTGAGGATGCTCAGAGCTCACCAACATAGAGTCTCATTGCTTCAAGAAACTCCGTGGCAATGACCAGGTCCTCTCAGGAGTCTGAGAAGGTGCCATGAACAGTCACCAAAGAAATTACTGCCACCCTCATGTTTTTAGCAAGCTGCTATGCATTGTGTCCTGAAATAAGCAAGAGCTCACCAATACCAGTCTATGCTAGATCTATTAATGTGGCACTCATATTTATACCGGTGTGTGGACGTGTATGTAATCCTCTAACACATCCTCTACCTTTCTGGAGAAAGATAATGTGCAAGAACAAAGAAAGGATACATTTTTGTAATTCAGATAAACTGGAAAAATGCAATTTAGTGCAAGTAACGCAGGACAATTCCAAGATAAATGGAAATGGGATTATCTTACTCTTTGGACCAAGTGTTGATTTGCCCAAAAGTTAAGGTTCAGTAAAACCATACAGAGGGATGTGTGAGGCTTATTAGAGCATGCAAATTGGGAGAGGGAGAGAACTTACCACAGCCTGCATCAATCAAGACCAAAAGAAGAAAAGAGTAAACATCTGCATTAAAACCTAGTTAGAAAGCAGCAAGATTTGTTTCCACCTGTTTAATAGCCTGTATCTGAGGTTTTGGTTGGACAAACCATCAGGAAGTGATCTGGTTTTCATGCCCAGGGTATTAATGGTATTTCGTTACTCTTACTGGTGAGATACCCCAACTCAAGAGGTATAGTCATAGCTTGGCTAGCCAAATGCATATCTTGTGTGGACCTTTTTCACTGCTCAGTTAGTCTGGGGCCATCTCCCTTGAAATTGTCTTTCCCTTTCATATGCTCAACTCCCATATCCTCTTCTTTACAGGGTTTCCTGCCATTTTTCTTGGTAATGTTTCACTGAGGTCACAGTGCGTATTTTCTCCATGGCTCCCAGGACCATCTTTTCTACTCTTTCCTCCTCACCTGAAGAGTTTCACACTTCTGTGTCACCAAACAGACATGTGCACCACAGATAACTCACATTCTTTTCCATGTGCCCCCAGAACGTCTAAATTTAGCTTTTCCCTATAGACTGTGTTTACCTCACACTGGTAGGTCCCTCTCTTCCCACAATCCCAGTGCTGCTGTGAAGTGAAAAGACCCAGTTCAGATGAAGTTGACTATGGTAAGTGACACCTTTGGATACTCTCCAGACAGAAAGAATCTATCTTTATTAACTCAGAAGTTAGTTTTTTGCTGTCTTTGGTGTCAGAGGGATACACTTTTCAGAAGAGTGCGATAGGAAATGATCCAAAATGGGCATGCTGGATTTGACTCCAGTTTCAGACTTAAAAAGTTCCAAGGAGAACAAAAACCTGTGTGCAAGAATGCTTCACATGAGCGGGGGTGGGGGTGGGGTGGGGAAGAAAGAAGTCTCAGACTCATTGCAGCTGTGAAAATAAGAGAATAGCATGCTTATCCATAAGAACAACAGCCTGCAACACGTCTGCTAAAATACACGAATGACATAAATCTTCCTGAGAAGAAATAGGATGATGCCTGGGTCTATCCCATGCAAAGCACTATATGATGTATCATGCATTCACATTTAGGCCAATGCAATGGCTAGCTAATATTTTCCGTCTTGTCCACTGTTTATGCAGTAAACTGAGAAAGAGAACTTTGAAATTACACTGGCCTGTAACACAGGAAACAAAAGAGGTATATAATGTTCTGTTTAGAAACAGAGATAATTTGGAAATAGAAGAAAAAGAAACTGCATGATTGTTGAATCGCAGGTTTGATGTAGTGGAGGCTCCTGGGGACTTTTTTCTCTCTTAGAATGTTAGAAATGCCAGCTCTTGAAACATGTTCAATTGAGTTTCACTTTAATCAATGACATAAACTTATCCTTAAATATTTTGGGGGGTGAATTAGAGGAGGAGGAAGGGAGGAGAAAGGGATGGGAGAGGAGATTAGAAAAAAAAGAAGCAAGTTGTATTATGTACCTGTTTCCAACCCTCACGTGACTGTGAGATACATGCACTGCACACAGGTGCTAATAAAAAATACGAACTGAGAAAATGCTAAAAAGTGAGTACTCTCTATCCCCAATCAGTTAAAAATTAGCTTGCTTTTAGCTTGACCTGTACAGTTGCATGGATTTCTCTGCCCGCTTGTTTTCCAATTTAGCACATTCCTATGAGCAAATATATAGACCCTCACATTCCCTCGACCCGTACCTTCTCCAGCCTCAGTGTATATAGTCTGATGTCTTAAAAGCACGAAAGGCAACATCCTACTGCTCAACAGAATTTATAGGCCATGTTAGTCATTGTGAACTCACCTGCCCATAAAATGCCACACGATAGTAGCGACCAAATAGCCGCTTCTCTGAATTCACCACCTCTGCCACTTTTAGGTATGACCGATGAATGTCATAGTAGAGATCTGACAGTTTCTGAAACCACAAATCAAAAAGTCATGAGATGATGCTGACATTAAAAGGAGTTTCTACTTAGCTTTTGAGAACTGCAAGTAATTTCCCAAGGTAAAGGAACAGATTTGAACTAGCTCCTGGAGGTCTCCAGTACATACTTTGAAGTCTCGTTGCTTCTCAAAAACGGCAATGATAGGCTTGTTGACATCAGCGATGAGTTCGTATCGCTCCGACTTCCAGAGGAACTCCACACACATGTACAGCTGCTCCACCAGAATATTCTGCAATTCCCCAAAGGAAGGTTTTACATGACTGAAACTGGGGCTCATCCCTAAAACTTGGTTTCAAAACTGCTGCTCTGTCAAGATTTTTCTTAGTGGAATGCTTGGATTTGCTACTTTTGTCATCTGCAATTAAAACCTCGGTAAGGGTCCTGGTGTTTTCTGGGATTCTTCTCTTTCCTCCACTGTCATCACCTAACTATTGCTCCAGACCTGCTAACTCAAATCTACGAGGCACCATCAGCTCTTTCTATGTCTTTCCATTGCCATTGTTACTGCTTTCTCAAATCCCTGTGATGTCACTCCCAGGGCCCTGGAGTAGTTGTCTAGTAAGTTTGTGATTCTCTATTCATGGCTGTTCTCTAGTAATCTTTTTTTCTGAAACATCAATCTGATCTCCTCTGCCATAAACCTCTGTGGAAACTCCAGTTTATGACCTGCCATCCAAACTCTCTAGCTTTGCATGCAAGGAGCTCCACACTCGGGCACCAAACTCCTCTTTGTGCTTTTTCCTTTCAGCACTCTGCCTTGCTCTCTGCACTTTGGCATACTTTCTGCACTTTGGCATACTCTGTCTTCTTGGCATACTTTCTCTCCTGGACACTTTGGCCTGTGTTGCTGCTCCACCCTATAAGAACCCTCTTTTCTCATTTCATGTCTTCAGGACTCATCAAATGTTAACATCTGGTGCAAAAAGATGGAGAGCTTTTATTATGACGTATGTTAGAAACATTCAGTGAATGTTTAAATTAAAAAATGTATTAAATAACAAATACATTGCCATTAATTCCCTTTAAAATACTCCCCCAGCTTTGCACAGGTTTATCCCATCATACAGTCACTTTCTGAAGCAGTTCTGGAAGTCCTCTTTCGTGAGTTTCTTTAGTCATGCTGGCTGCCTGAATTAATTCAAAACATTCACCTTTCACAGTCATTTTGACCTCGGGGCAGAGCCAGATTCAGTGAATAAGGTGGATAAGGATGCACCGTCTTGTGTTTACAAGCTCGCCTTTCTGTGGGATGGCACTCAGCAACATCCACTGTATTTTTCATCACACCTTCTAGGATACTCAGGAAAGAAGACTTCCAGCACTGCTTCAAAAAGTGGCAAGAATGAAATGAAGGGGATTGTTTCAAGTGGAATTAATGGTGATGTATCTTTTACTGTAATAGTTTTTTAAATTTAAAACATTCTGTAGTTGTTGATCAGTCTTTATACATCCATCCATCCCATTCACACTCCTTCCTGTAAAAAATTATTCCTCTTTAAATTGTAACCATCTATGATGTCTAGATTTATAGTTACTGGGCATCTGTTTCTAACTGGCCTCTTCCCACCTTGAAGGAACTTTGTGTTTTTCAAGTTGCTAAATTCTAATTGTGTAAAAGACATTGGTGGAAACATTCCAACAATATTACACACTTTTGGAGCTTATATAAAGCTCCAGTTCAGCTAGATATTAATTCATATACCACAATCTAAACTCTCAATGCCTCATAGTTGCTATAACTATGCAGTTGCATTTTGTTTATTTGCAATGTACATCAAGTTCATGAAGAACTACATGCAAGATTTTATCAAATTCCCAAGATTTTATCCATTTCCCAAATTTGCATTCTGTATCCTTTTCTCTCATCAATGTAATATTAAGATTTAAAAAAATTATCTTATTACATTAGGACATGGTAGTCTAACCTCATTGTATGGTGTGTCTTGCATCCCTGAATCTTCTTTCATGGCTCCTTCTTCTTTAATATTTGGTGTAATGCTTAGAAAAGCTGGCCATCCCATGGAGAACATGCCTTGGCAGGATCAAGCAAAATGAAACATCAATAGAATCAAATCTTGTTTGGATTAGATATTGACTTTCTTTATGATATCACAAGCCAGAGCATTATAACCTTCTCATAATCAGCAAGCTGGTTAGACAGTAATTATTGATAAGTGCTCTTCCAGTCATGTTCCCCTTTTATTATTTTTGTATAATTTTCAGGCAGCCTATTTCCTTCAAAGAAGTAGCATGGAAGTTTTCAACAGAAAGTGTTATCTGCAGGTAGACATATTTGCAATGTCCTTGTTTAATCTAGCCTCTCTGAGTCTGTTTTGCTCTTTTGTTAGGCTAGAGACATGAATATATATATATATATATTTTTTTGTTTGTTTGTTTGTTTTGTTTTGTTTTGTTTTTGGGTTTTTTTCTGGTACTGGGAATCGAACTCACGACCTTGCGCTTGCCAGGCAGGTGTTGTGTCCCTGAGCTAAATCCCCAGCCCCCTTCTGTTGGTCTTTTTGAGACAGGGTCTCACTATGCAGTTCAGGCTGGCCTTGAGCTCACTTTGTAGCCCAGGCTGGTCTCAAACTTGCAACGATCCTCCTACCTCAACCTCCCAAGTGCTGGGATTACAGGCTTGTGCCACCACACCCAGCAAGAATGAATACCTATCTCAAAAGATTTGAAGGATTTAAAACATTAAAATTTGAGAAAAGTGCCTGGAACAGTCAGTACAAATTCTTTCTTTATATTTTTTAACTTAAAATATAAAAACTATTTTATTTTTTAAAATTAGTGTGTTTGCAGCACAGCCTCGTTTGCATTCACTTTGGGGGACTGGTATATGGAGGCAGCATATCCTGATCATCTCTGTTCCCCAAAACACTGTCTTTATCATGCTCAATACTTGCTAGTTTCCACTCTTTTTCATCATCCAGAAACCTTCTAGATTTTAGTAGCCTGGAGAGTAAAATCATAAAGACCTAAGAAAGACTGAAAGACTTTCTAGGTGCATAGGACCACCTGGCTGTGGAGGGAAGAGTTGGTCTCAGCATTGAGGAGTGTGTGTGGTTAGGGTGACAGGCAGCAGAGCCCCACCACCTCTCTACTTTGGTTCCATCCCAAGCCAACCACCAGCTCTCGGGCAGGTTATTTTGCTTCTCTTGGTTTTCTCATCCAAAATCCAGAGGAAATAACAGGACCTTGCTCATACATGTATTATTGGCCACCAGCTGAGACATTGCTGGTGTAGTACTCAGCATGGTGCTTCCATGTAGCAAGTGTTTTCTGAGTTACTGCTTATACTTTTGTGAAATGATTGTGCTTGTCATAATCAGCTTGTTAACTATGTCACTAAATTATCACTCCCAAAACACGGTAAAAATTACAATAACTATTGCAATCTAAACGTTGCTTTTTTTTAAAAAAAATCTGCTTTCCTACTTTTTATATTAATGACTTTGATAATGACAGAGGTGAATTGATTATAGAAAGAAACATTATACATCTTCCAGGTGATGCTCATTTATTAATACATCTGAGGCATCTGTAATTTCTGGAGTTGGCTACGTTCAGCTTATTCTTAGCCACTTGCATGTTGTAAGGATGAGGTTTACTCCTCTGACTCAGAAACATAACATAAAAATACAGTAAGGATTTCCAATATATGTCATTGAGTTTCAGATGGATGCTGATGAATATGAATACAAGCTAATGCATTATAAGTGTGACCAGCTTCCCCATTTCACAGTTCACTAACAAATATATTCCATTTCCTAGGGATATGCTCAACAAAACAAATCCCAATGTCAGACTGGCATGCAGATACTGGTAGCTAAATATGATGACCACAACCCCTGAGTTGGAACGTTGGATGATATGCAGTTCTGTTTGCTGAGAACTTTTCAGTAATCTAAACTTTATACATTTTGGATGGGATTTCCAAATGACAGGTTTTTGCAGAGTAAGTTCTGTAGGTCTGAGATCATTTTTGCTTCTAATAATACATTTAAGAAGGTTTCATTGGAGCAAAACAGAGTGGTAACCTGACTATCTTTGTAGCAGAGGCGAACAAGTGGTTAGGTCACTCACTTCCTCCACCCGGAGTTGTTAGTAATGGGTTGCTATCACAGGGGTGGGTGTCCTCCGGGAGCAGGGATGGTGTGTGAGTCTTTTCCATTTTCCAGTAACCTATGGTAGTACAAGATGAGGTTAGGATACAGCTACAAGTTTGGGTTAATATGAGCTTATGAAACTAGAAGTTATTAATCCATAAGAAATCCTTATTTTGAACTAAGAAGCTGTACTACGTCAACCTTGTTGTACCTAAAATAAATACGTGAATGGCATGATAGAGTTAAAAATTTAAAGTATTGCATAATGAGAAATACATGGGAAGTGCATGTTATTTACTTAAACATTACTGAGATTACTGGAAGGCAAAGTTAATCAATTAATGCTAAACTAGATTTCCACATGTTGACTCTTGGGTCCTCTCTTTCCCGCAGCCATCTCGCTTACCCTTTCTTTTCAGGTATTCAGCAATGAGGGCAGCTATATGGATGTAACACATAGCAGCCTGTAATAAAGATGAAAACACACAGGGTTAGAGGACGGCTCTTACTCTTCATCTGATTAGGACTAATTGACCAAGAGGAGTCACTGCTTCATGGCAGAATACGTTATTCAGAAACATTCCAAAATATTCACCATTAAGAATAAAATGAGATAAAAGAATACAATTCAGGATTCTTGCTTGTTTGTGATTCTTGATATAGTTTTGAGATGGGTGAATGAACCGGGCTGAAGACTTTTCTCACAGAATTACCTTTCTTTCTTAACACCTAAGCCCCTGTTTAAAAAAAAATTCCAGGTATCCTCTTATTATAGCTATAAACTCCAAATTTGTACATAATTTGGAAATAATCTGTCTCTAAGGGTTTTCTACCTCCAATAATAGCCTCCCTTTGAGCTTCTATTGCATGGGAAATGTCTGTCTAGTGGGTTAGCAGCTGATTAACTAGTGTGGCCTGGTGTAGCATGTACATCCCCATAAGGGTTATATGGGTGATATTTGATTTTTCTCTAGCATTCCCTAAAGCCTTAAATGTTGTTGAGTGCATATCAAAATTTGACTTGGTGAAAGTTCCAAATGACTTCAGATTTTTCCTTTTGAGGTAGTTGGAAGGATTTCACCATTTTCAGAGCTGTCTGACGGTACTAGAGTTGCTCATTATTCTTTGTGCCAAATTGCTGCTAAGACAGGCTTCTGCTTTTGGCTCCAGAGACACTGATCACTGCAAAAGCTTCAGGTTTTAGGGCCACTGTAGACAAATCTATCTCCTCCCAGGAGGGCCACAGTTCTGGGAATAGGGAGAACCTTCCCATTTCCATCCAGAAGCCTTGGGTATGAACTGCTGTGTACACATCCACCCAGTGTTAAAGCTGACAGAAAAGTTAGGTGTGGATTCACAAGCTTTGTACAGCGTATTCACAAGCTTTCTCCTTCTATAGCATAAGCAGTGTTAATTCTCCCATGGCCAGTTCAGACTAGCTGCAGTGAGGACTGATTTCCTCTGCCTGAGTTTGCTCACTATGTAGTAGCAAGCTTTCCTATTAACCCCAAGGGCAGAGAAAATGCTGTAAAACAGAGAACATTAACTTGTAGAACTCTCAATTCCCAGACAGTCTAATTACCATCCTCCTTAGCCTTGGGTTGAGTTTTTAATTCTCACATCTGTGCTGCTTTCCACATATTGCTACTCTCCCACTGCGTCTGGCCCTTGTCTCAGGTCACCTACTTGGAATCAGGCATTCTTGAATTTTGCGTGCAAACTTATTGCACATAAAATGTAGCTGGGTAATATCTAGAGAAGCGGGAAAACACAGTAACTTGTGGTCATTCACGCTGCATGTGAAATTCAAGTCATGCTGGTGAAGAGCTCAGTGGCGATGGTAAATGTGCGAGCCTTTGTTGATCACCTCGGATAAGTCTCCATTTCTGGCGTGGATCTTGGCCATACTCTCCAGCCAGGTCCTCCGCAGTTCGGGGGTGCTCGCATAGGAGTTTGCCAGGCTGTACTGAAGGTCCACTAGCATCTCAGGGTCCTTCTCATGTTCCTTCATCTGAGCTGTGGCCATCAGAACGGTCCTGATTCTTTTAGTCAGGTCTTTCACTTCTGCCGGGAAATTGCTATTCTTTGGAAAAGAGAAAGGTTGGGTCATTATCTATGGAAGTTCTTAAAAGAACTTGTTTCAAGCCAAGCTATTAATTATGGCTGACCTCACCATGTGGTGTGCTCGATGTGTTGTTCACAAATGTGTTCGTTCTCTACGGCTGTGGGTTCTGGGCCACGTGACTGTGCATACACAGACACATTTGCAAGCAGGAATTGCAGCAGACACTGTTCGTTTGTCTTCAAGTCCACCTCCTTCTGTTAATAGCATCTCGATTGTTCTTACGGTCCTGTCCTCCCTGACTTCTGTTCGTGTGATGATCTGAACAGGTCTGCTATCATTCCTAGGCACCAGGGGGAGCACTTGGCTTTTATCTGGCCAGTTATATTTTTTGATCCCCCTGGTCACAGGGATTGGTTTAAGGATGGGCGTGCGATACAAGATTGGATCAAAGAGATTCCATTCTGGAACTTTAATTGATATCATCAAACAAGGGGCTTTTTCTGCTCATGAGATGCTATGAGTATCTTTATGATTTCTGAGGGCAATCCCATGGGGGAGCATTTCTGAAATGAAGTAAACAAGGAGGACTTGAACAGAGAGACAGGAGGGCAAAACAGGCTCAGGAGGGGAGAGGACCTGACAGCACTGTTTTAATCTTAGTGCGTAGTTATCACTCAAGCTCACTTCTACCCCTGGAGTTTTCATTACAATGGCCAGAGGGAAAAAGTCTATAGAAAGCACCAAAAGAAAGATGAAAAGTACTTGCCTAAGAGAGGGGTTATGAGTGAACTGCTTTATTTCTGAATATTCATGGTTAATCTGCTTGTTATATACAATATGTCTCGAAAATTCCACTGAGCCGATTATGTGCTATAACTGTAAAAGCTATCAACTCAAACGACTAAAAATACAAATGCTCAAAATCCCAATAACCAAAATGTAGAATTAATATTTAATGATTTTGCTATTTCACAAAGAGACTACTTCAGTTTATCCTTGCCTATTTAGAAAAAGCCCACAAAGCATTTCTTACTTTCATTTGCTTGTCTCCATTGGCAAAGTTATTGGTGATTGCCAGGGAGTGCTGAAAGCGAAAGCCTCCAATCCCCGCGTCAGCTATTAACTGGCTTACGGCTTTGATGAGCTGGAAGGGAAAAGAAAAATAAACCCCTTTAAACAAAATGAGAAATAGTGTTTTGAAAGAAATTCACTGGGTTTCATTTCTGTGTCAATTTCAAGGAGAAGCATTGTCAGCTGGCTTTGTAATCCAAGGCACTTCCTCAAAATGTAAATACTTAATGAAGGCTGTAGGAATCATGGGATACTTTAAATAAAGATCTTATGAATTTGGTGGGTTTAGCTCAGAGCTAGCTAAAGTTTCTGAATTGTCTACCTGATCCTAGTCCTGGACAAAAGAAAGGGAAGTACAAATGGAGATATGGGCTCTGCTACTTTCTTCCCAGCTACGTCCTGCTGTAAATTAAAACTGTGATGATTCCTCTCTTAAGGAGAAGTTTGGTGGAGCTGGTAACAGGTTGCCCTGGGAACAAGAGGCTTTAATGGCTGGTGAAACAGATGAGCGGTTTGTCTTGTTTGTGGGCAGCAGGTCTAATTTAGGGGCTTGTGCATGCTTTATAAGACCATTAATGAAAACTGGTACCACTTACTTGTAAGTGAGACCGGACAATTGACTTCTGCTTGTTAAATTCAAAATTCTTTCTCATGAAGAAGTACAGAAGAGCTGAGGCTTCCATCTGAGTTGATCGTGACCTGTGGTTACAACATTTCAGGACTTCATAGCAGAATGACCCACAGAGGTCAGCGGGTCCTTGAAAGAATGCTGAGGGAAACTAGAGAAATAAAAGAATGGGTGGGATGGACAACCTTTCTTCACTTTTCTCTGTCCATTCTCCTTTGAAAAACCCCTCTCCAGTTTTAACTTACTCTGCTTCTTGCATTTGAAAGTGAGGAAGATATACTCTCACTCATTAAAGTCTATATAATTCTCTATATCATCAGTAGCTAAAATCAATCCACAGTAATTAAATGAGAGATTTGAAATGTCTTCTATGTACTTGACATTGTTAAAATCCCAGAGTGTTATTTACAGGTGTCCCCACAGACAGCGGCTATATCTACTTTAATGGAAACCGCTCAACTTGACATGGATGGATATGACCCTTGAAGGAATGCATTTTACTAACTCTGCTAATACACTCAGTGGGAATTCAAAGAACTATTGATTGGACACTAATTTTATTTCCTTTTGGTATCAAAACAGGCAGAATGTCAACTCATTTGGAGACCAGGAATCACATTAATAAGCAGCAGAAGAAAGCAAATCTTTTTCTCTCCATACTGAGAGATGCAAAGATTAGGACGTGTTCATTATCAGCCCCAGCTGAGCTCTCCTGGGAACCTGGAGGCTCCTTACCTTGCACACAAACAACCTCAAAGAGGCAAACACATGCTTCAGTGCCGTGGCCGACTGGTTGACTTGGAAAAAGAGCATGTAGGTATCAAAGACCCTTTTCATCAATGAATTTTGACAGTCAGATTGTTGCAGCTGTCTCTGGAAATTCAGCACAGATTTTATTTAGGACAAGTGAAACCTTTGCATTTCTTCAAAAATATGTATCGTGTGCCTACCATGTTGTAGGCACAGTTCTGGATGTGAAATAAATTTACATAACAGGGATAGAGAAAGTGACTAAATAAAATAATGCAGTATGTAATAGAACGTATTTGCTTTTGGGGTGGGATTACTTCGTTCAGGTGGTCAGCAGAGACCTCTCTAATGGATGAGTGACCTATGTGCGGATGGAGCCTGCCTTGGAGAAATTGGAAGGATTGTCCCAGGACGGAGAAATAGACGGTACAGGAGCCTTTAGGTAGAGAGAAGCCTATGAGAAAGAAAAGCAGAGGGAGTAGGTAGGGATCAGCAGAGATGAGATGAAGTCATGGGCCAGTCCTTGCTGACACTGGGAAAGCACTTCAAATGTGAGAGATTTGAGTGACATTTCCATTGAGCAATAAAGAAGCAAAATGTAGTTGCTGCTATTTTCTGTCACCATCCTCACATGTCACTTGGAAGCAGGGCTTTCTTGGTGTAATCATGAGGTGGATGTAGAGACTTTAATCAGTGGATTCAGGAAATCCTGGCTCAATCCTTAATGTGCTACCGAGTCTGCAGCTCATTTGGTTGAGCTGCAAATGTTTTTTTTTTTTTTAACACCTTTATTGAAGTAGTTGGCATCCACTAAATTGCACATATTCTAAGTGTGTATTTGGATGAGTTCGATATTGGTATACATCCCTGAAGCCACCATTGTAATCAAGATCATGAGCATATCCGTCATTCCTGAAAGTTTCACGATTTTTTTTTGGTAATCCCTTCCTACCCTTTCTCAGGCAACAACTGATCTGCTGTTTTTATAGTTTGCATTTTCTAAACTTTTTTTGTTTTTGTTTTTTTTTGTTTTTCTCCTGTACCGGGAACCGAACTCATGACCTTACACTTGCCAGGCAGGCGCTTTTGCCGCTGAGCTAAATCCCCAGCCCCTGCATTTTCTAAACTTTTATACAAATTAAATAATATGGCAATAGTTTTCTTTTTCTTGTTCTTGAACTTAATGCATGTTTTAGCCAGTATTGGTAGCTAATTGCTTTTTACAGTTGAATAATATTCTACTATATGGACATAGCACACATTTTTCTAATCCCTTTACTTGTTGATATACGTGTGGGTGGATGTTTTTTCTTTTTGCTATTGAAAATAAATCTGCTATGCATATCTGTGTACAGAGCTTTGTGTAGACACGTGTTTTTATTTCTCCTGGGTCAATATTTAGTCACAGTAGTAAAGGTCTTTACTGTTTGGGTCCCTAGCATCGATGAATAGAAGGTCCAGTTTCTTTGTATCCTTGCCAAAACTTGGTACAGTGAGTCTTTTAAAATTGAGCATTTTTAATAGGTATGAGTGGTATCACTTCATCAGAGATATACGAATGGCAGGTAAGCATATAAAAGATATTCAAAATGAATAAATCAGTTTCTTTGGCTCTAGTTCTAAATTTAATCCCTAGCACCATTTACCCCTCCTTTTTCTATTGAAAAAGTACAGACACATTCTCACCTGCCCCAGCTTGCCCAACAGCAAAATGAGGGAAATTAGGAAGACTCTGATTTGACAATAGTAAAACACAGATGTTTGCATATCAAACATTGGTCAGCTTTTGATAAATCAGAAGCTCATTGTTAGTGTGCTTTCCACTCACGTGTAAGCTGATTTACACGAGGTGAATTGATTTCATAAAACATTTTAAAACCATGTCCTTGAGTTCAGATAGCTTTTTGACCTCTCATTTTACCACTTTGCAGAAAACATTATGATCATATTCACCTGGTGAACCTGACAGAAGAGGGACAGCAGGTCTAGAATAGTGAGGCAAACCTCTGTTGCTATATTGGCCTCCGTATCCACATGGTGTACAATGTCTATTTCATTGGAGTTGCCTATAAAATGCAAAATGAAACAATGCATGAGTGTCTAGACAGTTTTTTACTGTACCCTATGAAAGATTTTTTTATTATAGTATATCTAGTGTCTGCTGGTATTGATTAATAATTTATTAAATCAAAGTGCTTTTGTTTATTAGGTTTCCTTATTGGGTAAATTAGAAAACACTAGGCCGAGTCTTTCGTGTATGCACCCTTTCTTATATCAGTTGTAGGGCTCCATAATTTCTTAGTTCTTTTCCATTAATTCAGCCACCAATAGGTCATATGATTTTCTGTAATCAGCTTTATGCTTCTGGGCTAGATCAAATGTACAAGTCAGTGGGCAGTGGGCAAAAGAGTCCCCTTCAGAAAGACACAAACATATTTGTATATTAAAACCTTCAGAGGAACTGTGGGCCATATGATCATAATTGCTAACATTTGCTATAAAACACTGGGCTCTGGTTTTCCTCCCTCACAAGCAGGAATGCGTGCATCTCTGGATTCAAGGTGTTATGCTTACTGCTCATGGAAAATGGACAACTCTGTTCTCTTCCAGGGTCAAAGCGAAACAACCTGTCCGAGAGAGGCTCCATAACCCTCACAGTATCAAAAGCCACCCTGAGCACCTTCCATTGCGAGTTTTATCTTTCCTTCACCTTTCCCATAAGGACACTACGTCTTTTTCTTTTTTGGTGATTTCTTCCACCAAGAAGCATTTCCTGGTCTGCAACAAACTTTAAAACAGTGGTTTTTACCGGCACAGCAGCATTCCTTGGATTTACTGAACATTATAATGCATTTTATGCCCTATACCATACGTATTTAGAAAACAACTGGGAACCATCTTGTTCCTGTGATTTCTGGTTTACTTACTGGTCATGGTATTGTCTAGCATCTGCAACAGTTTGGGGTTAGAAAGTGCATTTTTGCCTCGGATTATAGGTAAGGTCTGTGATCTGTGCTGCTTATGGCCTTCGTGACCGGAAGTGGTGTGCATCCTGAAAGTTCAACGAGAGAAGTGGTTACTGTTATCTGGAGATTTTATATCCAAAGGTTTATTAAAATATTCTATTTGAGGAAGACATGGAGGGGAAGATGAAAACATAACAATGTGCTGTGTCCATGTACCAACTCCCTGTGAGGACTGTGATCATAATAGACTACAAATATATCCTAGCCTGAGTTAAACATAAAAAAAACTAATTTGAACAGAGGGTTTTTTAAAAAATAAAAAATATTCACTATAAGCATCATGAAGAAAGTGACTTTTAAATACTTTTGGAGGAATTTATTTAAGCCAAGATAGTATTTGCAGGGACCATACATTGAATGACTGACAGTTAAAGCAACTCTGGTAAAGTGCTTCTGATATGATTGATGAAATCAAATGAATCGGGCTGGGGATTTAGCTCAGCAGCACAGCGCCTGCCTGGCAAGCGGAAGGTTGTGAGTTCAATTGCTGGAACCAGAAAACAAAAACAAAAACAAAACAAAACAAAACAACAAAAAAGGAAATCAAATGAATTATGAATGTTGAGTTGGCTACTAGCAGATCAACCAGCAGGTACAGTGATGGGCATTAGAAACTGTAATATTATGAAGCTTGGATATATCAAATTGCTTTTAAAAATGGAAGATGTTGAATCTGGTCTAAAATAACTCTTGTTTTATTATGTCTTGTATTTGATGCTTCTTATGACTCAGCGTTCCATCTGGGTCATGTCCATGGGAGCTGACATGTGGTCGCTGTGGGGGACATTGGTATTTGAGGGTCCTCTGTACCTCTAAGTTATCACCAAGGACAGTGACAATACCTTTCATTTAATGGTCTGAGACACATTCAATGGGAAAATGATCCAGTGTCACTGCAGAATTAGGAATACTTTCTGTTTCTCACTTTATGATTTGGCCAAGGATGCTTACACATGTGGGTTCAATTTATTTCACTTATGAGTATGGTCTCTAGTTGCATCCATTTACCTATAAAAGCCTCAGATTTATCTTTTCTTTATAGATGAGTAATACTCCATTGTATAAAAATATCACATCTTTTGCATCCGTTCTTCAGATGATGCTATGGTTATCTCTTTGTCATATTCTTCACAGACTGGTTTGGGGGAATCAAAGGGACTGGATGGGTCAAAGCCCAGGAAATTAGACTTGGGGTTTCAGTAGCCCAGGAAGCATGGCCTGTTCCTGAAACTCCAAGAAGTAAAGAATTCTGGGCTATGGAACTTCATGTTGGAGTCTAGTTCAGTCTGTCACTGGAGGAAAAAAAATCCTAGTTTTTACGTGATGAAGGGCAGCAGGCGCACCTGCCCAGTCATTGCGGGGGAGCTAAAATCCAGCCCAGCAGACGTTTGCTGTGACTTCGGGTGGATTACCATTATTAGTCAACAGGGAAAGCAATTCTTTACTGCTCTCTATTCTATTCCCATTTGCAAAACATACCCAGTACATTTTAAAAATTTACTCAAAGGCACTCAAAGGCAATTTCAAGAGGTCTCTAGAGATGGAGGCAAATTTTATTCTATGATTTATTGACTATATACCACTTTCCTAGTTTCCTCTAAAACTCTTTCTAAAATATTCATCTTATGTATTATTCTAATGCCTATGGCGAGGATAAATCAAACCAGAGAAAATTGTAGCAAACAATTCCTATTTATTAGACCCAGAGGAGATTTGAGGTAGAATTTTGGGGCAAATCTTTCCCACTGGGGAGGCTGATGAAGAGGACTGCAAGTCCTGTATACACAGAAAATCAGGTCAATGACTAGGAAATCTAAAGGAAGCTGATGCAGCCATCCAGACCTCCTCTTTTGATGTTCTAAAAAACAATTTCAGCTTTAAGAACATTTCCAAAAGCAGTATAATTACTGAGAAGAATAGGCAGACATGATCACAAATTTTGCTTTGTCACTAGGAGATTAGCAAGAATTAAGAGAGGCATTTATTCAAATTATGTGTACCTCTCAGGTTCAATTAAATTGAAATTCTCATTAACGCTCATTCTATCCAAGACATTGTGCTCTAAGTGCACATAAATGAGGCACAGTTCTTAACTCTGGTTGTATAAGCTAGTGGGACAGAAAAGAAAGTGTCTATGAAATTTATTCAGATAAGTAGAAAGCTTCTTGAATTTTCCGTTTGGTCTGAAACATTTTTCTATCTATCTATCTATCTATCTATCTATCTATCTATCCGTCCGTCCGTCTATCTATCTATCTATCTATCTATCTATCTATCTATCTATCATCTATCTATCATCTATCTATCTATCTACTATCTATCTATCTATCTATCTATCTATCTATCATCTATCTATCTATGCATGGGTCTGTGTACTCACTCTTCCCTATGCATGGATATACACATATGTACACATATGTGCAATTCACATATCAAGCAAATGTGACATTACCATTGTGACAAGAGACCTGATGTCTGGCAGGAAGGGTTGGATCCTTTGAGAGTTCCATTGTTCTGGGTGGACTGCACGAATTTAAATGCAGCAGCAATTTTTCTGCAAGGGAAACAAGATTTCATTATAGCTCAGCACCTATAATTTACATAGACAAACAAAATGGCAACTGACAAAGCAATGCCTGCACAACGAAGTATTTCATGTTCTATGATACAGTGAGGAGTAAAATCCCAGTTTCGCCTGCAAGTGGGAAATCGGGGTCGTGTGGGCTTTTTTGTCTCATATAAATCTACAAACTTCTGTGTATAAGGTGAAGTCAACTTAACAGTCCTTATTTATGTTTTATGATTTCAGACACGTATTTATAAATCTAACCTGATGCATTAACATATATCATCATGCTTTTTAAAACACTACATTAACCTGTGGGAATTTAAGATTATTACCTTATTATATTGCGTTTTCCTAGGTATCTGAAATTTTGAAGACAAACACTAGAAAGGAAAAAAAGGTCACAATCTAATTATTCATTCCCTTTTACTTACACATAACTGTTCATCTAAGTATACTGAAAGAAAAACATTAAATTTTCTTTAACTGTTACTACTGATAAGTAATTTACTATAAACGTTCTTGGGGTGAAAGGTGGTACAGTGGGCTATTTTGAAAGTTCCAAATCAACGTGTTATCTAATCAATCTGTGGCTTACTCCAAGATGCTGAAGAAGTCGGACACCTCAGGACTGGGTGCTCTCTGCCAGTAGGCGATCAGAGTCTCTAGAAGAAAAATCCACACAGCATGAGGATCTCTGGAATGCAGTGTTCTCTCTTTCTTTTCTTAATGTAATTTGAAAGAGTTCTCTTTACCATCTGAAATTGTTTTCATAATGTGAAGAAAGCACATGAGCAGACTCCTGGTTTCTGCTTGATCTAACTTGTCAAATCGAAGAGTTGACCCAATCAAAGACAGAGGTCTCGGGATCTAGGCATTAAAGAACCAACAAGGACAGTACAAATAAGAACTTTCTGGCTTGTAGTTCTGGTGAACTACACCCCTCTGGGAGTGAAGCTGTACCTTCTCACAGTTGTCAGTTTTCTCACTGCTCTTCTCGTTGGTACTTGGATTGGAGTCAAGACTCGCTAAAGATGCTCTGGAATCAGCATGGTTCACTGTAGAAATAGCTATTGATGAAAATGCTGCAAACACAAGCCACAGCACACGTATGACAATGAGATGCATGGTTACAGAAAAGAAAAAGCTAAAATGATGAACCCAAAAGGATGATTAGGACCGTTGAAGTGGTTATTGTGTTGTGAAAGTATCTCAAAATAGAGTCTAGGATTGGCATTAAAAATGTGACATTTCTAGGGTTATTAAAGTGGTCTTTAAAGACGTAGGACAATCTGAACCATTATAAATGGAAACAAACAAAGTAGGCATGTTCTTCTGATCTCTTAAAGTGCCTTTTAAAAACTGCCTCAGTACAATCCCATAAAGATAATTTTGGGGAAGGAGCTTTCAACTTTGGACAGTTTATGAGAAATTAAAACGCCATTTCAAAAATAGTTCATAAAAATAATCTTTAAATTTGAAAAGCTATTATATTTTAAAAGGCTCCGTGCAATGAAAACTTAAAGGCTGTTTCCAGAACGAAGTAACTTGATAACATCTGAGCAGATTGCTCTTTAAGCCAAGCAAAGATGGACACTTAGTACAAGCCCAGTCACTGGATGGCATTCAAAGAAATATGTAAAAAGTCTGGGCATATCGATGCAGCCGACTTTGCCAGATATATTATGCATATGAATTATGGATTGGTAAAAAGCACAATGATCTACAATGTAAACACAGATGAATGTTAAACACAAGTGCTTTCAAGTACCTGCTATGGAATTTAAAACATCCTTAGAAAATGATGTATCTACAGAGGTTGCATGTTTCATAGATGTCTGGATTTGAAATCCTCCATTGGTGCTTAGGTCATCTCTTGACCCCTGCATTCAAAGTGGAGAAGAGATTTATGGCAAGCAGAATATTTCACCATTGTAAACCCGTGTGTGCCTTCCTCATTACACTTTCAATTAGATCACATTTAATTTGATCTTTTATATTCCAGCAAAGATTTTCTGCCAGAGTAGGCAATGAAAGTGAATAAAGTCAAAATCATACTCTTAGTCACAATTTGATTTTCTTATCAAAAATAATAGAAATAATAATAGTAGAAATAATCTTTGAGCTAGGGACTAAATGACAGAGACAATTACTGGTATAGTTATGGGATACAATATAGATTATATATAAGCATTATCCTGAGTTTTCTTATGCTTACTACTATCTATCTCCAGGGACTAGATTATAAATAGCTGTTATATGCTGGGCAAATAGTTCTTATATGCCAGGATGTATACACAGTTTATCCTCATAAAGATCTTGTGATGTAGGTATTCCATCACATCTTATAAATAAGGCTTAAAGAAGCTGGATAACTTAACAAAAGTCACATGGATAGTAACTGGGAATTGAATGAGGTACTCTCTCAAAAACTTTCCAGGGGCCTGGCCCATACGTTTTGATGGTTATGTTTTCCACTGTTACTGGATTTAGCAGCATCTTAGTCATCCAAGATGTAACACAACAATGGGTCTTATGTAGATTTTGTGCAGTCACCATGGTGGTTCGGTGAAGGAAGTATTATAACAGTCTACCTCTGAGCCCTAACTACAAATAAGGCACTTATCTATACTGATATCATAGGGGGGGCAAAAACAATGCCGAAGGCGGTGGGGGAAGGACATATGCTGAGGGTAGGGCCACGAGGGCAACACAGGAGCCCTAAAAACTGGGAAGAATTAGAAGGGGATGCAGACAACAGGGGACTATGAAAATACAATGTTAAAAAGAGACACCAGGTAGAAGCCTACAGTGGCCAATCTGGAAACAAGGACATTGATGTGAGCATCTCACAGGAAGCATGAAGTGTGAATTTGCTCACAGGTGGGAAGAAACAGCTATGCAGGGTGTAAATATAAACAGATAAATTCACTGTTAAGCTAGAAATGTGAAATGTTACATAAACTTACCTGATTAGACGTATTGACTGTGAAAGGATACAGGTCCTTCAGGTAAATCCTTGGCATATTGTCCAGAAGCATGCCATAGAGGGGCATGTATAAACTCGCTATCTGGGCCTGCTTTCTCTAGGTGAAAAGGTGGCCAAAGAAATGATTCATGTAAAAATCAATAGGCTTGTAGGTTTGATATGCATTTAATGCAGTGAGCCATTAAACAGTGCCTAGGGAGGGAAGACAGGAAGGCCACTTACTGTTTCTCTGTATCGATCATCAAATGAATGCTTAGCCATTAGATTTTTTAGGACAGCTAAAGCTAAGTGCCTGATATCTTGGTCTTCCTGCAGGGCAAAGCCGACTTCTCGGAGCAAAATTCCAATTAGGAAATGTTTGCGGCAAAATTCATTCGTGACAGAATATTCAGGCATGTCTTTGGGAGGAAAGAAAAGATATGGCGTTACTGACAAGAAAACACTTTATAAATAGTAAAGCAACCGCTATCAACCCCTTCCACTAGCAGGAGGGGTTCAGTAAGACAATCTTCCTAAATCTCTGCGAGCATTTAGTAAGATGGGAATGAAGAAACAAAGACAAATACAAAGGAATATACCATGCCAACTGCTATGCTCCAAGAATCTAATGGCATGATTACAGTATTACAGGAGCTAAAACCACACATACTGTCTGTAGGAATTGGGGAGTGTTATAGGAATGCATATGCGAGCTGGCCCTTTAAGGATGCTTAAAATTCGGAGGTATAAATATTTGATGGAGCAGATAGAAGTAGTGGATATAGGACAGGAAGTTGGGGGTCAGTAGGCACAGTCAGCCACCCAAAGAGGAATGGGAGGAATCGAGGTTTGAGTGGTAGGGTGGGGCTGGATGACAGAAAAACTTGAGTACACGTTCCCCCCTGCCCCGGTCATGTACGTCTCACTGTCGCTTGCATTTCTATAGGAAAGATTCAACACTAAGGGCTTTGAAGCCAGTGACCTCATTAGACTTGCGCTTTATTTACTTAATGAGATGGCTGCAGTATATAAATGTATTAGAGGGCAGGGAGAGGAGAGAGAGCTAAATGATACAAAAGGGGACAGAAAAGAGTGATGTATTGGCTGGGGTTGCCAGAACTGAGTAGTAGAAGTAAAATCAGGACAGGTTGGTTTATCAGGAAGGATGTGAGGAAGCAATGAGAGAGAGAGAGAAAAGAAGCCAAAGGGGGCTACAAAGTATGGAGTTGGAATTATGGAGAAAATATGTCACAATTTCCAGTAATAGTAGATTTGTTCACAACTGTCTGGTGTGCTTTGCATGCTTAACTGTTAACAGTAGTGCTAGCCGCAGGGGCGAACTCCTTGATGTGGGCACTGGTAATGGCTTCATGAACATGACCCCCAAACACAGGCAGCACGGGACAAAATGAACAGGTGAAACTATATCAAGCTAAAGGTTTCTGGAAAGCAAAGGAAAGAATCAATAAAATAAAAAGGCAACCAACAGATGGTGTAAAAATACATGCAGACCATGTATCTGATGGGGCAACTGATATCCAAAGCAAGTACAAAACTCGTACACCCGAAGAGCAAAAGCAAAAGCAAAAGCAAAAGCAAAACAAAACAAAGCAACAGCAACAATAAATAAGACAAGTAATTAGGATAAAAATGGGCAAAGGACCGAAGCAGACATTTTTCTAAAGAAGATATAAAAATGACCAATGGAAATATGAAAATGTGCTCACCATCACTAATAATTAAAGAAGCGAAAATCAAAACTACAATGAGCTATATCATCTCATTCCTGCTAGGATGGCCATGATCTGAAGTCAAATAAGTAGGGAGAATAACAAGTGCCGGGGGAGCGGAGAAAAGGAAATCCTTTTACCCTGCCAGAGGCTTATACACAGATACGGTCATTACAGAAGGTAATCAGGAGTGCCCTCAAAGAACTAAAAACAACTGTCACATTATCCAATGGTCTAGCCTCTGGCTGTCTACCTAACAGAATTGAAATCAGTATCTTTTTAAAATAATTTTTTTCTCTTTTAACTGATAGGTAAAAACATAAAAACTATTGCTGAAATACCATGTACTGTTTTGATATATGTGTACATTACGATCTTTAAGTCAGGTAGAACATGCCTACTCCCCGCAACTTTTCCAGTATAGTTTTGTTATCTGCAGCCACCTTACTTTGCAATAGCATGCTACTTGCTTCTGTCTAACTGCAACTTAATACCTGCTGGTCAATCTTTCCCTACCCCTCCCTTCGCCTGCTTTCCCTGGCCTTTGGTAATCACTACCATACTCTTCTTTTTTATAATTTTTGCTTTTTGTAGTACATCTCTGTCCTACATAATGCATACACTCCTTGTGGGAGTTGGAACATGGACATAACACATCTTAATTCTGTGTATGTTCCCTTCCTCTCCCCTCCTTCTACCTCCCTCCGACTCTTGGTCCTCTTTCCATTTGCAAACACTGTTAGGGTCAATTTTCTTTAGGTTTCATGTGCTTTCAGGCATGTGTCCCTGTCTTCTATGTCTGGTTTATTTTATTTATCATAATGATCTCCAGTTCTGTCTATGTTGCTACAAATGACAGGATTTGGATTTCATGTTTTAGGGCTGAACAGCATTTCATTTTATGTGTGTACCACATTTACTTTATCCATGCACCACCTGATGGGCAGTTAGGTGCTTCCCACTTCTTGGCTGTTCAGAACAGTGTTGTGATGAACATGGGAATGTGCGTGCCTCGATCACACACCAATTTCACTCCCTTTGGATATGCACCCGGTAGTGGGACTGCTAGGTCTTAGGACGGTTTTGAGGAACCTCCATTTCGTCTTCCACACTGGGCTCTCTCAGTTCACACTGCTGTCAACACATCCTCATCAGCACTTGGTATCTTTAGTTTTTTTTGAAATGAAATCAGTATCTTGAAGAAGTGTCTTCACCCTCATGTATGTTGGAACATTATTCACAATAGTCAATACAGTATATGAAAATAAGCCTAAGTGTCCATTTATAGATGAATGGATAAAGAAAATGCAATCTAGTTCTATTCATTCTTAAAAAAAGAAGGAAGATTCTGCCATTTGCAACAACATGGATGAAACTAGAGGACATTAATGCTAATTGAAA